AACTTCGTTCGTGATATTCGAACTGATATGTATATTATGAGGCAAGATTAGGGCGCGATATAACGACAAAGGAGTGAAAAGGAAATTTTCCCAACGAGGAGAGATATGAAAAAACGGGGAACTGATTCGAACAACAGTATGACTGATCTGGATGCACGAACAGAGTCCACCGTGTTCTATATCGGTAGCTGTGTTTTTCCAGGCGGCAAAAATCACGGGAAGGAAATCACCGATCGCGAGAACGCGCGGTATTCGTCTTCTGACAAGCCGAATTAATTCGCGCGTGGAGGCCGCCTCCGCGATACCGACAGACGTTCGTCTATTACGAGGATGAAAGAAGAGCACCGAGGGTGGATGGGCTGGAGATGGTAGAAGAGACAAGCGGAAAAGTAACAGACGGAGAGAAAGGCGGAGCGAAGAGAAAGAGAGACATCGGTGCACATATTTTTATGTCATCGCAGTAGAGGCGATGCATTGTTGTCGCGAGACAAAGGCAAATGTGGCGGAAAAATTGCGGAGGAAAGGCGAGGCGCGGGGAATCCTGGCACTGGGATGGGTGTCGGACGGCGAAAAAGAGCGAAGAGGGATGGAAGATCCCCTGAAGGGAGTAGGGTGCTACACGCACGCGACAAAGCGGAATAGGTTAATGCCGGATCTCGCACGATTGCATGACGATCCTTTCCACGGAATGTTCCGCGAAATGTACGCTCGCTGAATAAATTCTAAACACAAACAGAAAGTTCCCTGCGTAAAAATCATACCGCTCTTAGTCGTGATTCACAGTCAGCCGAATTAGTCATCGAACATACGTACGTATATATAACTAAAATTTATTTAATAAATTATAAGAAACGCGTTGCTATTTTAGATATTAACGCGTAACTGGTCACGATAGCGATTATTTTGCTACGTGAACGAACACACGATATGTCCAGCTTACAGATAATCGAAAAGATAAAAAAGATAATATATCGCGTGTTTCGTTTAAAATCATTACAAAAATAAAGATCGCTGAGATCCGATAGATTCCACCTCACCATTTACGGTTTAATATTTTTCCTTTATTCGAGTTACGATGAATATTTTATAGGGATTTCAAGCCATCATCCTGGACAAGGATATTTTCTGAAACGTATGTCGGGACGAAGGAAACGACTCCTGACGTGGGATAGAGGGAGAAATGAAAAAAAAAACGAAATCGGGGTAGAGGAGACGTAGCAACTACAATTAAGCCAGTCAGTCCGTGGCTGAGTTGTTCCATTGAGAGAATTGGCCTGCACAGGCAGCCAACTATCGAGCAGAATTGAGAGCCGGCGGGGAGATTTCGCAGATTATCAAGCATCAGTTGCCGGGAAGAATAAGCAACCGCCAACCGTCATTTAACTTTAACGCTCGAACTGCCCTCGTCCGCACCCCCGGCAACCCCCGAGGGCCTCCGTTGGTCCATGCTAATTAAATCTGCCTACGTACCTACCCCGTCCACGGTATTGCCCTCCGCTGGACCTCTTCGTCGACCTTCTACCCCTTCGAGCCATTCCGATGATACTACTTTACTTACGTGTGCACTCTGACTCCATTGTATCCGCCATCTTATTAGCATCATTATTTTTTGCAACCTCCTTTTCCAAAGTTTCGAAACTCGCTAACATACATAGTCGTCTGTCAGGCGGTTCCAGGCATTCCGTTCGTGTCTTATTAATTGGATTCCTGGTAATTTGGAAATTTGATATTTAATGCATGCAAGACTGAATATTTTCTGAGCTGTATACAAAATTTCTTGTTATTTAATCGTAGCGATAAATGGAGAATTTAGATTGAGCTAATACCTGTTTATCGTGTTAACATCTACGTGATAATTATTATCGATAGCCGCAAGAAGAACTTGTATGTATTGGAGCAATCCAGATCTTTTGTGAATATTAATATTAAAATCTTTAACGAACGAAAGGAATTATCCGTATCGAGGTAATAACGAGACAACTTGGAACTTTCGCAATGGTTTCCCGTTCAAATGAAAACGTCTGGCAGTGTCTATTCTGCTGATTAGAATCTTGCATTATCAGCGAATAGGAAGAAAGGTCTAAGCATACGTCGGAAAGATTCGTGTCAAGGAACGTAATGCCCTCGAATAAAAGCGCTGAAAGTTCTACGGAGGACTCTGTGCAGCATTCATATCCGTTATTTCCTGAAAGCAGCGTGGAGCGTGAGACGCTGTCTGACGCATAAGCGACCGGAACTACTGGCTTACACGACCCACTATCCTGTGTAAGTTTCCTCGCGTGTTCCGAATATTCTCGCTCGTATATGGAGCAACGCGCCGACATCCTCTGTTTGCTATCGTTCAAACTTGCAAAGATATGGCAAGCAGTCTCGTAAATGTTAAGATGGATCTCTTGTTTTGATCACGTAGAATTCGATATACGGACAATTCCAAGCACGATGCATAATATAAACTTGCACTTGTGTAGGATTTTATCACCTTCGAGTTTCGATTCGATTGTAAATTTTTCTTGCAGCGTAGACGCCTGCTAGCGTGTCTTAGCGATGGCACTCTCGTATTCATTTGATTCAGCTATGCAGCTTACTCACGACGAAACGCAGGGTAAAGCGCAGGACTATGTGTTATTCGTTTCCACAATAGCGTCATTGTTGGAGCATTGTGCTTCCACCCCATTCCGTAGATTCGTCGCGAACACTTTATCTCCTACTCCTTGCTGCTCGCGAATACACGTATACGTGTTTTACACGCACGAGCACCCTTGTCCTTCTGCTTCTTCTTCTTCCTCCTTATTCCGCTGCCATCACCATTACGTCTGTACCGATTCATAACTCACGTTTCTATTCCTCCGATTATTACGAGGAAAGAAAAATTCGTCAATATAAAATCGTCGATAAGTGGTGATTTTCCATGCTGAACACCGACGTTTTTTCCTTTCTATTCTCTCTTCTCCCGTACTTGGCTATTCTCTGTCTTATCGAAAATTATTTTCTTTCGTATAAGAAACATATCCACGATTAATAGGCTTTCAAAGACAAAAGAAACATGATTAAACGTAGAGACACAAGGCGTGGTTATAAAAATCAAACCAACACGGGAAACGATGCTCCAATTGCTTAGAGCGGTGCGTAAGAAAATTCAAAACGATCATCAGAATTTCGTACACATAATTTAATCGGCATTTTTATATCGATAAAGATGAAGAATCGGTAAAAACGTATCGGCATGTCGGTAGAATGAGATTCTGAACAGCGAGGAACCGGAACGTCATCCGGACCGTTAAATCCAAGTCTATAACTAACGTTATCGAGTTTCCAGTATCACGTCTAAGCTAGTATCACAGCTATAGCGGGTTGTGAATCTAAATGCGCGCTCCGCGAGCATAAACCTCCGCGAATTACTATGTGGCTCGTCCAGGAACGATGCCTGATTAACGACGGCACGATATTGTCCCGGGGTTGCTCGAAAAGGGGGACAAGGGACAGTAATGCGCTCATCTCCCGTGCACAATAGAACAATGCGTTCCATAAGTAAAGCGCCACTACTCTCACGAAATATACACACGCACGTTGTCTGCGCAATGTGTACGCGCCTTCGAATGAACTCCACACTTAAATGCCCTGAGTATTCGCGGTGAAACCCGTTCGGATGGTCTGCAGGCTCGAACACCCCGACGAACGATCGGATTTTGCCTCTGTTTTTCTGCTTTTCTTTCGACTTTAATATTCGTAAACAAGTCGACATTCGAAAGGCGAACGATAGGATTTTACTTTCAACTCTTTGACGTTTCGCGATTTAGATTATTCGCTAACTTGTAATTCGAGATTCAAATGGCGAGCAACGAGGTTCTACTTTTAGTTTTTCGATCTTTCCACTTAAACATCCAAAGTCGCTAACTGATCGAGATTCAAATGTAATCTTGGGTCGTTCAAAGGGGGCAGCCAATTTGGCGGATAAAAGAAAAGCAAAGAACTCGATTGGAAGACGGGTTGTAGGACGATTGGGAAACAGTGGTATTAGCCAACGACTTGGCGGACATCGGGAAACCACTTAATTCCCCAAAGTAAGAAAGCGGCTCGGAAGTCGGCGCCTAAAGTTCACAATGTTCAAGGAAGGAGAACGAAAAGACGGACGGACGCGCAACAACGAGGAAACAATGAGTCGCCGTCGGCCGAGGAGGACGAACGAGCGAGCCACCGTCGAACAATGCATCGAAACAATACGAGGAAGGAGGATGCCATCGCGTAACAATGTGGACAATAGACAAATGGGTATACAGAGAAACGAAGATATATATATATATATTATAGTAAATCATAAATGTTTCCTTATTTCAAGCTATTAATGAAATAAAATAATTTCATCCGCGTTCCAATGAATCTCTATAAATATTCTCCAGTTCTTTCCTCAAACGAAAACCTCTATCGTCCCTTCCACGTCTCCTCGGTCGCTGGCCACTAAGCCTTCCAAGTTTTGTCTCGCTAGCTGGCCGCCAATGCTGAGGAGTAAGACGCAAAGACGGGAGAAAAGCGGAGAAAAAGACGAAAGGTCTATAACTAATATGACGCGAACGACGTTTGTCGATTTCGAAGTTTGTTATCCAGAAAAACTATAAACGTAAAAATCTTTGCTTAAATCATTAAGGATAAAATAGTAAAATGATTCGTAGAGTTTGTATAAACGCAACGTTAGCGGAACGCAGAAACAAAGTATCTTATTATTTTATCGAACTTAGAATTATAGGTGCTGCTAGATATTCGTTGCGCGAGTCAATGATATCAAGAAAGAACCGTACAATTTGGAGAATTTCTTCAAGCTTCGTTACTGGATTGCGGATGTTCATGCATTGATGGGAAATTTAAAGATAGGAAAAATGTACAAAATGCGCGTAATACGAAGAAATATATAAAATATCCAAAATAAAGAGAGCATTTTATAACGTTTAGTAGATGAAGCAAATTTCTATTTAGATGATCTGTTTTATCATTTCTTACGTTTACGAAGCTAAATCGAAATACGAAGAAGCAGCGATCGAGGAAAATATCAACAGAAAAAATTACTCTTCTTGGCTTGTAAATTTTTGCGGTTGACCAGCGTGATTTCTGAACGTCTGGTACAACAAAACGGAACACGTATTCAGCGTTGTATGAAAAATTGCAAAGCGGTGGAAAGTCAAGGTAACCCAATTCGGAGGCAAAAAAATCGAGCACGATCGTCCGCAGGGCAAGAAAAAGACCCTTAAGGCGTGTCCACGTGCAGGAATCGCAACGCATGCTGGCCGGCTGCTGCGAGCTTTATGATCGAAAGAGAGATCGCGCGGAGGATGGGTTAACAATGCGCGGGAGCGAGAAGGAGAATGTCAAGTGGACATTGTTGACGGTGACAATGCCGCTGAAATTGCCGGAGAACAAAGAGGTCTTACGATGACGCTGCTGGCGGACGAGCGAGCGAGCGAGCGAATTGAGCGAGTTGCTCGTGGACAGGGACTTCCCGTATATTCTCCTGCATACTGGCCCGCTCTTCGCGCACTCTCTCTCTTTCTTCCTCTGCGTCGAACCAAGCGGCAGAGAAGCGCGTTTCGTCTTCGTCGTTTGGCGAACACATCGTACGCCACCCCTTGTGTATCGCATGGCATTATAACTATCGGCTCTATCGCGACGCCTGTGTCGATACTCGTGAATTAAGCACCTTGATCCATTAAGGATCGGCGTACTCGTGTGTTCGGAGTTAACGGGTCTGTTTGGCATTGTTTTAACGCCGCGGTGACCGTGTGCAGCGCCGTTAATACGACGGCTGATAACGCGTTAACGGCATTACGTCATCGTTTACCGAATACAAGCAAACGGTTCGCATATCAATCAGACGTAAACCGAGTGATTGTTTCCACCGTTCGATCACCAACACGTCGATTCCACGATTTGGTAAGCAAATTCTTGAAAATGTGTAGAAAGGTTGCAGTTACGGCCATTTAATGAGACTCGAATTATTATTTTGCGTTTATTCGATTGCTACTTGACGAAGAAACGCGTCTTTCTTTTCTTCTTTTTTTTTCTTAGTAGCCGTAATTCCGACCTCGTTATTTCCATAGGAATTAATTAACAGCGAAAGGAGATGGAATTTAACCGACTGGTATTGTGGTCATTTAATCACGTGGACAGACCAATGTTGAGGAGTTTACAAAAGGTGCAAGGTTCGTTAACGAAACCACAAAGTATTATCGCAGAAGTAAAAATTCCTATCGTAGGGAGAAAAATATTCCGTCGAATATGCTTTGCCAATTATTCTTATTATTATTAATTCCCCAATTAAGCTATTCAGACTGTCGGCGAATACTTTCTCCTAAATTCTTGTGTGTCCCTAGGCGACTGCCTACGCTGGAATAATACGTCTCGCGACACACAGTTACGGATCGAAGTCAACGAAAGGTCGCTCGGGGGACGACCTACGTTCGACGATTTACCGATTTCGATAAGAGTCGAGTCAACCTTCTCTTTCTTCTTTCTTTTCTTTTACAGCCCAGCTACATGATCCTAACCGAGATTTCGAGTCTGTATCTTCGATTTTTTCATCGAGACGCTGCAACCTATAAACTTCGATACTTGATCGATTTTACGACTCGGCTGTATCGCGGATGCTACCGTACGAGCGGAGCTCGAAAGTTCCACGCTGCGCTTGTGTTCTTTGCTCGCGGAGAAATGTACGGGCACGCGTACATTTTCATCTGTCTATAGGTGGAACCGCGGGCCGAGAGAGAACGAGAGAGAAAGCGTCCGGAAGAGCACGGGAGAGAGTCGTATATACGTATATATACATCTGTATATACATGCAGGTATACATCGCCATCGTTCCGTGCTTTCATTCGTTCGCGGAAAGAAGTAAAGAGCTTTGTCGCCGCGGCATCAAAAGCTTGAATGACGCGTCGATGAAAGAAGGAAGTATCGGTACAAGAAACTGCACAGTGAATACTGAAAAGAATGTAGTCACGGGAAGAAGGAGGACAAGGGGCAGGGGGGAGCAGGAACGGCAGAAGGAGTTAAAAAGGAAAGGAAAAGATAGCGAAAACGGGAAAGCAAAAAAGGAGGGTACCGGAGGAGTATTGCGGGTAGAAAACCTTGCAGGGAAAGACCGATAAAAGTTTCTGCCTTGAGACGGATATTGGAAATACCTTCTTCCTCCGATCGACTATCGCGATTTATTAATTAATTCATTCGCCTTTCGCGCCAAATCGACCAAATAGGAAAAAATTCCAGCAACTTGGCGAACGGCCATCGAAAACGATAATATCGCAGCGTTGTTTCGTTGTTCCCGCTAAACTCTCGTAACAACTCGTGAGATCACGATCGCGGTTAGGATTTGGTAAAACGAATCGATGGATTACATCAGTGCCAGGCCACGTTCGAGTTCCAATAGCTAAGTCAAGCATGCCGGATTTCGTTAAACTATTACGAGTATTCAAAGCGTGAGCCTTGTTGCGTATACAGGGTGTCCCGTATAGCTGGCCCGTGGAATCACGACGAAATGACGTGAAGCTGGGAGAGCAGAGGAGAGGAGAGAAGACTGAAAAGCCGTACCCGCGGCAGCGTATGCAGATAATCGGTACAAAGCCTTTCGTCGAATGACAAAGGAGAGCACTGGCCAGCCTCGTGGTTCTCTTGCATCTATATGCCAACGCATGCATACACGCTCGCATTCAGCCGGTATTATTATACTGGATGGCAGCATGCTGCTAGGAAAGGCCCAGTTCCTAACGGCTTTATTCTACTCGTTAAAACGAGATAAAGCTTCCGCGGTGATTCTTATGATTTTGTCGTGGATTCAAGGAAACATCTATGACATCGCGAGGAACTTCGCGTAATACTTTTCTACTTCTACGCTACCGTTATGGACGTGGTTGAGTAGCTTTAATTATTTACCAACGAGTACTGCCACCGACGCAATTGTCAGAATCGTCAGAACGGCGAAGACAGGAAAAGAAACCGTCGAGGTTATTAGATGTACAAACAGAGGAACGCGTGGATAAATTGTAAAGTAGGAAATATATTTTAATACAGGAGTGTAAGTACAAGTAGGGATATAATTTGAGCTGGTCCAGATCCGCACGCTAGCAGTGTTACCCTATAACTGAAAGTCCCGAAGCCATCGTCGCCTGTCTAGTGTCTATGGTCTGCCTTCGTCTCGGTCTATTGTCTATACGCTGTCGATGGCTTCAGTGCTCGAGAAAACTAAAAAGACCAGATGTAGAGTTTCCTTAGAAGTGGTGACCACTTCAACGGAAACATTATTCGGAATAAATGAACTTCTGATGGAAAATGCTTAATTGCAGCAACAAGCATCGTTAATAAGCATTATCTTTTATCCTGCAATTTGTTAATCAAATGGAGGAACAGATACGAGGTAAAAAAAAAAATTGTGCGCTTGGCAAGATACTGCGAAATGCTTAGAAACGTTGGAAATGCAGCCAGTGACCGCGGTGCAGCGTACGCTTTCTCGATCGCGTCGACAACGCGTCAGAAAGCAACATCTTATTTCGATAAAAGTCGCGGAAGTCTATTAATCACTGGAGCGCATTGTGACATTCAACCGAGCGGCATTCAGGGTTTCAATATTATCGATACTCAACAGCGGGGCCAGCATCCGCGTCTATTGAAAGAGAGTTTATCAATAGAGTGCAGGACACTCTTGCTGTATCCGCCTCCAAAGCGTTCTAAGCTCAGCGACGTACCTACGATCTTTCGGAAACGATGACCGTCGTCAGGAAAAAAATCTTTTTACGCAGGCTAAACGCGACTGGCGGTTCGACACGGGAACGCTGCATTCGACGATTTCCAATTAATATATCGTATAATAGACAGCCTTGAAAGCTTTTATCTCTCCGGAGCGGTTTCACCATCCAAGCACGTACGCAAAAGGAGGATGAAACTAATCTGGGTTAGTATGGTTAAGGGGATTTTCGAGAAAGCCACAAGTGGTCGAGACGGATACTATTCTTCCTTATGTGAAACTTCGATTAAGCTTATACGTCGGAAATAATTCATGTTAATGCCAACAAGCGGCTAACTTTCAGGGAGTGTGAACGTTCATGGTCAGACACACCTATTGCCCCTCCTATGGGAGATCGATAACGAAAGACAGGCTTCGGCTACTTTAAGGAGGTTCGAGACGTCATGGTCAGACGTTGCCTTCAATACGAATAGACACGTTAGAAAGAATACATTTCGAATAGTCTCACCTTCGTCTTAAGGAGAATGATTACACTACGGTCGGTCGTTGTTTCTCCTGGAATTGCTCTTACTTTTTAAGAAGAAAGAATAGGTAGTATTCAGATACTCAGATAATTCAGACATTGTAATGATGCTTCAACGGATGCAGAAAAACTCACGTTCGTGCACTCTTACTTTCTGATCGATCTTAATTATCAGCGGTACTTTCAAGCTCGTCAAAGATATCGTATGCAGCGTGAAAGTCTCCCTGCATTGGCGTTTGCAACGAATCCTCCGTTAATCCGGCCAGTATAGAAAAAAACACGAAAAGCCCGACGAATTCGCGGAATGTACGGTTTCCTGACCAACAGACGATTCTTTCCACGGTCCAGTTAGACGATACAGAATTAAGCTCGAAAAGTACTCGGCGAGTACCGGGACGATGGAATACCGGGCCTATAGAGCTATAAACAGCGACAAAAGGATACCGAGTGGGCGACGAGCATTGAATGTACGAGAAAGGATTGTATGCCAGCGAACGATGCTGACGATGGTAGCGACGTTGCTGTTGCTTTTGGCATACGTGTGTCACGTACGGTATGTCTGTCTGCGGCCTGCTTTTCGGTGTATCCGCGCTGCCGGCAGAAAAGAGGAGTATTTTAGCTCGCGTCCATATGAACGTAGGGACGAAACAATGTAGCTTTTGTGCGAGAAAGGAACGGAAAAGCAAAGCCAAAGAGAGAGCCTAAGAGCGATTGAAATGCTCGGCCGTCTGTCTCTTGTTCTCCACCGCCTCCCTTCGTCGTCCCACCCTCTTTATCTATTCTCTTTTCCTTCCTCTGCGTCTTTGCCGCTTCTGTCTTTTTACCACTCAGCCATCTACGTCGTGCTTCTTCCTTCGCTTCGTCTTTGCTTTGATCGCAACACTGCCAAACTGCGAGTGATCGCAAACGCGTACACCTTCTCGGACAACGATCATCCATTCCGAGTCTCTTCGTTCTTTATACACGATTCGCCTAACTCGTAAACCTTGACCTTTTTGCAGTTAGCTGTAAGATGACAGTCGTGTGTACCATATAAATTTTTTTTCTTTTTTTTTTAATGTAGCACACGATAAGATGAAATAAAATGACATTTCTCGTGTACAAGGTCGCGAAACAACTATCGAATTGAGAACGATTCGTTACTACCCCCAAAGCCGAAGACGACAAAGAGATTCTTTTTTTGGTCGAACCTCGAAGAGAAGCAAAGATGTCAGAATGAGAAAGTAACGACGCGCGGAGCGAAGACGCGGTTGGCAATAGAAGGGTGGTATGTGCAAGAAGGGCAAGTATTGGTAGACACAGATGTGAGGGGTGGTTGCAGGTTGATAGTCAAGACTGCCTTCAGATTCCAGAGTGAAGCATTGTGTCCCGAACGCGCATTGTCCTCCCGTCACCGGCAACTCGACAATGCCGAGTCCGTAAGTTAGTAACCCTACCGTAAAAACTTATCTCCACCCCAAACCATCGACCTCCAGCCTCCATGATTCCGTTCGATTTCCAACCACCTCCCGCCAACTCTTCCGCTTTTCTGTCCTGGCTCGTGACTTCTGCTGCTTTTACTCTTCCTCCTCCCTTCGATTGCAAGAATCAACGATCTGTGTCTACGATGTTCTTGTGTTCTCCCAGCAACAAGACAAAGGTCTTCGTCGGAGCTTCGAATTCCGCTTCTCAAATAAATATAGTCGTAAAACACATTGACGGCTAATGCCAACAAATTAATAACTAAAATCCTCGTTCGAACCGAAAAAACGACTAACAGTAAAACAGGTTCTTCGTTTTCTTAATTAATAAAATTTCGTCGTATGATTTTTCAAGTGTAACGTAGCAGTTTTACAACTACGTCGATTAATGGTAGGGAGCCGAAGAAGTCGATCGTCAGCAAGCAGAGAAACACTCTGGGATCGGAAGCGAACGTCCTGGGGACCGGATACAAACATTAGGGGTTGGCGGGTGGTCCTCTCGTTGGGACTCAAGTTGCCGAGCAGCCGGACAACGCGTGGTCGCCGGACAAAGCTCTTCTAATTGTCCCCATCAACGACGAAGAATGGACCGCGGGCCTGCCGCTGACAATTTCATTTGTAATTTGCATAAGGCTTATTAAAATCACAATGGACGTGGACCCAGAGGGATGCTCGATCGAGGTGGCCGCAGCCTTCTTTTTTGGACTGCTCGATAGAGAATAATCACGGTCACCGCTGTGCTGGTAATTGAACTTCAATAAGGAGCGGAACTCGTTTCGACCATTCGCGTCAACTACTCCTAATAAAAAAGATAATCGACGAGAAATTTAAATCGTTGTGAACTTACGTTTGAAACGGCTGACTCGTTCGCTTCTCTTATCCATGATTATATCCAAGGACACTGAACACACTGTTACACTGTATTTCGTTGTCTAACGGATCGTAATAAAAAAAGGTATATAAGAAAAGGATAGATGCGTAAAAGAAATGTCGAACGAAATTTTTCTAATAAAACGGAAGACGAATAAAAATGTGCCAGGTATGAATGAATCGTGAAAGAAATAATATAATAAGAAACGATAATATAGGTGATAGATGTAGAAATGAAATTAATTTGAAGGTACGTATGGCAGGATCTGTCACACCGATGATTCCACGTTTGTCGAAATGTGTCGCGCACGTGAGACGGCGCGGAACTGAACCATCTCAAAACGCTATCATATCGCGCGCCGCCACATTCCCCCACCACTTTCGACCAAAATGCGTCTACGCATCTCTTATTTATGCTGCTATAAAAAATCGTTCCGATTAGAATGTTAATTATTGTGGCAAAAAACAATTGTCTCACGACCTGATAACAATATGTATATTACTTATCTAAATAAAAGGAGTGACACGAACGAAAGGGAAGAGAATCGTTACTGTAACAACTGGTTTTATAATATTTTTCTAATATCTTTTAATATATGAGAACACACCAGATATTTGTATTAAACGATAGCAAATGATACAACTCGGCCTCGTATGAAATCAATGCCTAACTCTAGGACAGCTATTTTCCAAAATGCAAACTCCTTGATTCTTGTCGCGTACGTATCCGTCTTCGCAAATGCAACCACTTACGCAACTTTTAGTCTGGATACAAGCCATGGATTCCCAGATATCGATATTGTCGCAACTCTTTTCGCAATTCGGACTTGCCTGACATTGGCTGAAAATTTCATTTCCCCTGCACGTGTCCTCGACAAAGACCACTTGGGGTCCTTAAAAATTAAAGACAAAGAAAGAGAAATGTAAAATTGAGTTACGTTAATCGAAACACTGTACAATGAGGAATTAAATAAAAAGTTACTTACTAGACAGTATCGCTGCCGTTACCATGCCTGTATACTCAAGCAGGAAAGAACTTGAAACAAGTAAAACGAAATGCACTTGTAGAAGCTTCATTTTCATGCTAGGTCAAAGAAGAAATGCAAGTAACTATCGGTGACTGCAAGTTTAAATACCCGTTTGCAAATGAAATATAGCGATAGCCAAATCGGTCAGCTATCAATAAAAGAACCAGTTTCTATCGCATAAATAAAACAACGTTCTCCGAACAAGGACTCGGTAAATGAGGCATCAGGGAGATAAGAAAGTGAAACCAAGCTCGGTAATCAACGGAGAGTCACATATGCGGGTATAAACTAAAAATAAACGTTGAAGAATAAAACCATTAATTTGTATTTTCCATGTTATGTATTTGTTGATTTGAATTGTACAGCAACTCGTTTACATACAACATATATAAGTGTCTTACTAGTAAATTACTTTGTATGATACCTTAAAATAAGTATTTTATAATAAGGAGGGGTCTGTGACAACGTGTCTCGAAATAAAGTAATTACGAAGTATAATCCAAGGATGTTTCGACGTGAGGGGAAACTAGATTGCTTACTAAGAAAGTCTCTTCTTCGCGTTGGCGATTCGCGACTCAAGTTTACTTGGCCAGAATCGACGATATCCGTAAATGACAACAGCCTTTCTTCTCATTAAACGCAGCAAATTCGAAACGTCAGGTGCAATTATCGAACAAATTGCAAATCAACGCGAAGAAAAATCTTAAATCGAAAATGGATTCATTTCGCGTTGCGAATAATGCATTTTGCCGATTCTTATAGGTGTTTTACTATTTCTCTCATGACAATGAATGATGAAAAGCCACTCGCATACACCAAATAGTGCGACCAAATACTTCCCTTTTAAATTGCGCGTCACAGCAGAAGCTTCCATTTTTTTCCTTCCGTAATACTTACGAAATAAAAGTTTCATTACGATACGAAAATAAGTACTAAAGTTGAAAGGTGTGTAAAATTTCTTTTTTTTCTAAGGATTAAAAGAGAAGATGTCACAAGTTGTAGATGTTCGTGAACTTCACGATATAAACGTGTTATTGAATTGACGAGAAACGCACATTTATATGTGTATACTATATGTCACGGATATTTACTATGTAAATATCCATGCATAATTACGAAAAAACTAAAATGACATCGATCGCAGATCCTTCAAGATGATATATTAGTATATACTGCAATCATTCGCTGTTAACTCCGATAAAAATTAAAAGTTTGAAAGGAAAAAGTACATTTCTCGCAACCGTTACGATCAGTTTTTCATTAAGGTATATCCCCTCTACACTCTGTTTTAAATACACCGAAAGCGATCGGCATAAGAATTGAGTAAGAAGTCTGTCTCACGTGATCCGGTCGAAGTTTCACGTTGAAGAGAAGTAACTATATCACAGATGAAGGAGAAGAATCGAAGAAGCAGCAACGGCAACGGGGTTTCTACCAAACCTTAGCAGCAAGGGTTCTCTGCATTAAAACATTCTTGCTTCGCTGCTTCATGCGCTCAATGAAGTACTCCTTGCCTTCCAGGTTATCGTCGACAGGTCCAACCTCATTCTAGCAACAAACGAGAGTTAGTTGGCTCCTAGGTCGTGTGATTCTTGCACGTGTGGCTCATCACCATCATCATCATCATCATCATCATCATCACCATCATCATCATCATCATCATCATCATCCTCATTATTTATTCCTCATATTATCATCATCCGGAATATCATGATCGTCATCACGAAGATGGGCTATTCTTTCGCGAAAGCCTACACAGAAGAGACCTAACCAACCTTGTTAGCTGTGTCGCCCCCCTCGCCCTCTCCCCACCTCTCGTAGTCATCGTCGTCCCTCTCTTCACCCTCGCTTAAAGGTCCATCTTGTCTTTTACTAGGAGGAACATTCGATCCTCCACCACCTTGCTGATGCTCCATCACGTCATCTCCGCCCTCGAGCATCTTGTTGATCTTTTCCTTTGCTTCGTCCACTTTTCTCATCGGATCGGGTGAATAGCTGCGATCGCTGTATCTATCGCGAGAAGCGGCACGCCGATCTCTGAAGTCTCGCCTATCTCGGAAGTCGCGGAAGCCCTGCTTACCGTGGAAAAATCTACCGCCACGATTACCACCACGTCCGCGTCCACCACCACGATTATTGAAACCACCGCCACGTCTATTGCCAAAACGATTATTGTGTTGATTATTATAGAACCGATTACGATTTTGGAAATTGTTACCACCGCCACGATGGTTTGGATTATTGAAGCCCTGGAAACGGGGCTTATAGTAAGTGCCTCGATTATTGTATGGTCGGAATTGTCTCTTGCGATAGTAACTCCGGTCTCCAGATCTACTGCGACTACGACTCCTGGTATAAGATCGGGAACGTGATCTAGAGCGTGATCTACTGTAAGTACCCGACGGAGATCGACTGTATTTTCTCTCGTAACTTCCAGATCTTCGATTCGAGTACGATCTTGAACGACTTCTTCTGGGTGAACGAGACCTCGAAGAGCCTGAACTAGAGGCACTGCGCGATCTGCTGCGCGACCGTTTCGCTGGACGATCTCTACTCATTCGTTTAGATACAGCTCCTCCCCTGCCAGTAGATTCGCGTTTCTTAGGGGTTTGTCTGTGTTGCCTTTCGGTCTCGCTATCAGAATCTGTTCTGGGACCCTTAGCCTGATTCTGGTTCTTCGTTGGTGGAGGCGGACGTGGTGGTTCTGGTGGATGACCAGCACCGCTATTACCACTTTGTCCAATCGGCTGGAATTTGCCACCAAGATTGTTATTAGAACTAAACTTTGTCGGTGTTGTTTGCGTTGCGGATATAGAAGGATCCTTATACGACTGAAATTTGTTCTGTGGTTGTGGTGTAGGATACTTGACTGGCGCCTGCTTAGGGATCGGAGGTTCTTTGGGTAATGGCGGCGGAGTTGGTGCGGACATGGGCTGAGCAGCTGCTGCTCTCTTCTCTGCGAGTTCACGCTGCATTTGCTTCCGTATATTCATGGATTTTTCCAATGCTGCTCGCTGCAGTTTCTCCTCTAGCTCGTTATCATCGTCTTCGTCACTGTCTACATTGGATTGCATCTTTTTGTTCTCTACCGGTACATCTTGCCACTTTTGTGGAAGAACATCCTTTTGCCTAAACAAATACAAAAATAGTCATGTCCAAATATACACCGACATGTAATATATCATATTAAAATATAGCTTTAAAACTGCTAAAACTTTTTACCTAGCGGCTTGTGCAGCTTTCCATTTCGCATTTAATGCAGCAGTGTCGAGGGTAGGTAATTTCGGTTCAGGATGAATCAGTTGCGACTCTTGTTCAAAAATGTCTGTCAGTGGTTTTCTCTGAATCTCTGTAAAAAGAATGTAAAGTAAAATGGGCATAGACTATACTCATTAACTGCAGGTTGCACCCATTTTTCTGTAACGGGCCTGACCCTTACCTTTACGTTGCTGTGCAGTCATTGGTATTCTAGCTTCCCGTTCGTGATACGCCTTTGAAGCCTCATCTCTTTCCCTTTCTCTCTCTCTGCGCAGCTCTTCCTCCCTTCGTGAACTTTCAGCGAGCTTCTCCGCGTTGCTAAGAGGGGAAGCTATGTCATTATACTGAGCTACATACCTAGTAAATATAAAAACATAAATAAAATACGAGATGTTAAAACCCGCGTTTCCATTCATGTATCTTTAAAAAATCAAATTAATCACGGAAAATTATCTAAGGAAACACAAACTAAATGCAACATCGAAAACAATATTCATACTATTTTCATAAATTAATAGACAAAAACTTCGTAAAAACAAATAACCAAAACGGAAAACATGATCACGAACTGGCCATAAAGGTTCCAACCTTTTCAAGACGGCAGTCTCTTTTTCAACTTTTGCATAATACGCATTCAGTTTTGATTCCAATTGTTCTAAATCCGGCAATGAAGACTTTTTTAAGGCTTCTAAATCTCGTTCGAGCTTGTCTTTGTTTTTGCGTTTCTTCCTTTCTTCTTTCTTTTTCTTCTTCCTGCTTTTCTTGTCCTCTTTCTCTTTGTCTTTTCCTTTCTTCTCTTTCTTCTTCTTTTTCTTCATTTTTTCACTTTCTGAATGTTTCTTTTCCTTCTCTCTTTCTCTCTTCCATCTAGCTGTTTCTTCCAGGAATTTCCTTACCTAAGAGTGTAGGAAAGATAACATTGAAATTATAAAAAAGAAAAAATAAATTATAGAATGTTCATAAAAAAGGCATGTGTTTCTTACTTTATCTTCATAATCGGAATCATCTTTCGTCTGTTCCAAGAATTTTCGTACTTTTATCTCGTAATCGTCCATCTTATCTCGAGTATTTGAACTGTAAGATACGGGGGCGATTACGTCATGTGCAGCTGTGGTAGCAGCTGGTGGGTTGTTGTATTGAGCCATCCGTTTGCTGAGAGGTGAAAGTGAACCGCGATGATCCTTCTTATGTTTCCGCTTGCGACTAGGTGATCGAGATGCTGATCGCGAACTTGCGGATGAAGAAGAACTGCTGGACTCAGAGCTGGAGGAACTCGAAGAACCGCTCGATGACGAACTGGAACTCGAACTCCATCTCTGTCTCTTCTTCGAGCGTGACTTTCTCTCCTTCTTGCGTTTCTTCTTCTCTTTCTTATTTTCCCCGACATCATTTTCAGTTTCGAAACTCTTGAATGTATCCAAAGGATTCAAAGAAGATGTCAATGTCTTAGACTTGATGTATTCGATAGAGTTTCTCGCTTCTTCGTGGAATGGAGCAATTGCCAAGCAATTTTCATATGCCTTTTGAGCTTCTTCGTACTTCTTCTCATCTTCGTAACTTCGGCCTAGAGCAACGAGAGTCTCGGCCATGTATTTGCGAGCGTTCGTATGAGTTTGATTCAGCTTCAATGCTGTTTCAAAATCATCGATCGCTTTCTTGAAACTACCGCTATTAGCGAATCTATAACAACAAAGATATAAACATGTAAAATAAACACAATTTAGAATAATATACTTCGTTTGTGTTAAGATGTAGATTGTGACTTACAATGCTCCACGTGCTACTAATCCTTCGACGTTTCGTGGGTCTACGGTAAGTGCCTTATTGAGACACTGGAAGGCTTCTGTATGACGCCCAGCCTTGAAATGATCTATACCTTCGGCTACGCTTCGGAATGCCCACTTACTGGCCTGTGCTTGTCTTAATTCGGATGCATATTCATTGGGTGGGAACCTTTCTCTGTAACAAAAAAGATGTTTTTGGAAGGATGGTAAGACCATTTATTTGATCAGTTATACTAAAAAATGAGTATAGGGGATTGATACTCTACCTCAAACCAACCATATTGGAATGGTTTTCTTGACCGAGACCCATCAAGTCGCAAAGATATTTAATGTTGTTTGGGTTGTTGAAGCCAGTACTATTCTCCAACATCGCTTCGTAAGACTGTCCTTTGTTGTCCATTGCTTTCCTACACCACAGAGAGAAACGACCAATTATCAAGATGTAAAAATCATTTTGTCCTTTGCCAAAAAGAGGATACCAAAGCTACTTCGTTAACGGTAAAACTAAAGACTTGATAATCATGATGACCGAATCTTCACAAATCCTGAGTTCATTTCCTGGTACAGGTTTTTATTTCAATCTGATTGTTTTTCCCTCAGTTTTCTCGACATCTCGTCGTCTTATACATATATATTTTATATATATATTCATGCATATTAATATGCATGTCCTTTGTGCTGCTATTCCTTGCACGTGTTAACGTACGGCACACCCTTCATCGGCTTATTCATCCCTGCGTAATTATTCGCCTCTTCTTTTCGATCTACATGAATTATTCAACGATACGACACTAATGCCAAAGATGCTCCGGATGAAGAAGGAGTTTCTTCCAATTAGAACAAAGATATTATCAGACACCTCATGGTATTAGAGTCGATCAAAATCTACGTTTGTACCGTTAACAAGCAGCAGGGGTCCGAAACGGGGATACATTGCAGAAAGTTTGGTAGGTTTCCTTTATTACCAGATTATTTCTTACGTATAAATTTACAATGGTACACAACCTCATTATTATGTAAACTCGTCTCTCACCTTTCATGTACCGCTAAGACGTATATTTCTAGTATTTTGTATCATGTTTGTAATCAGAGGATTTCTCAACATAAAAGCACACAGCCTATCATCAATCGACGGTGGTTTGGTTTTTATAAGTTTTTGGTGCGATAAAATAAATTGCATAGCCCTAGGATAGGTTGGGAGCCACGCCTGAGTATATTTTATCTTCCAAGTTGACCAAAAAAATTTTTTTTATATATATGTAGTAGTACTTTCGCCTGTTTTGCATTTTGTGGTGTCAATTCAAACATGACATCATATTTTTATATTTTTTATTTGTCAATTTAAGCTGTAAGTTTAAATGAGGCATTATTATGACAAGGCGCAATTCTTTTGAGGCTTAAAGGTAAAGGTTCGGGCGATTAAGATTTTAGTTATTTGGTCTCTGCTTTAACTTCTTGAATAATCTGAAGTTTTACTCCACTTGGTAATGTGATACATATGAAACATTGACAACACATTGACGTATCATGCACTTTAGATATGCATTAAACTCGAGCAAAAGGATCTTTAATACATAAAAATATTTGAATGGGACATTAAAAATAATCAATTTTTTAAATGCTTGCTTTTTACTTATTTTATTATTCGTCTATAATAAGAGACCAAACAACAGTAAATCATTATTATACCTACCGTCTGCAGCACTCACTCTGGCCACCCAAGGCTCAACATCTCATACTGGAAATGCAACCTCAAAAGACATTGATGTCATTTGGCGCCATTGTTTGGCTGGTGCTTTGAGAGTAACATATCACAAACGTAGATAGAATATTGTGCGCAACAGAGCCATGTCAACCAATGCTCAAGGTTTGAATCATTTGTATCACATTATAAATTCATCATCATACTGACTATCAACTTTTTACGTTATTGAGAGTGTCTGGCACCTAAATTCATAAAAACGTGTAAGAGGAATCAAATCTAATTTACCTTGTTTTGTTAGTATCACAGTGCGTCTGTTAAATCTCAATTTCTTTTGGCCACCATACCATTTTCCTTACCTTCTTTTTTAACAAAAAATATTAAACAAAACACTAAAGATGCAAATCTGTACTGTCGCGTATTATGCAAGTTACAAATAGAATAACTACACTGTCAATAGGAGATATGTTTCGACCACGATTGAAACTGTTATATCAATCCTAAATTCGAAACTACCAGTGTCAGAAAATATTCCCCCTGCCTTCTGTTAGTGCACAAGTGCTCTCAAGGTATATCGCAACAAGCAAATGATCAAAGAACGATTTATAATACAAATACAAATTTTGAGTCAAAAGTGCTACTGATGCATCACAAGACACTTTTACCATTTATATCGTGTATACAAAATTTCCTATAGTGATATACATATCAGTTTACAAAAGTTAGTGAAGCATTATTATAAATACAAGGAGTAAATGTACTTATCCAGATTTTTTATTACTTACTTATAAGCTTCTGGAAGATCATCAGAATGGATAAGTCCCATAGGTGGGTGCGGTGCTTGCCCTTCACGGGCAGGTACGTTCATAACTGCAACAACTCGCTCGGCTTCAACGTTAACTTCACTGACTACGACGCAGATGAGATCATTTGCCATGTAGCCTCTTGTTACACCTTTCTTGTCCACCGCCGGCACTGTGGCCGTGTTCAATATTAGAGCCTATAAATTTAATAATTATTTTTAGACACGATTGAAGAGGATACAGGTACTTTCTAATTAATATAAATAAACAATAAGAAACTTAATATACCTTAACTCCTAAATCAGTAACAACTCTGGGGCAATCGCTGCAGTTGCAAAGCACCTTCAGAAGAAGTCCAGCAGCACTTTTACCCATCACTTGCGCGTAAATAACATCTCCAATGACCAAACTCTAAAAAGAAATATTTTATTAGAACTCCGTTTTTTAATTATCAAATTATTTATTTTTATATAAATTATTAAAATCATGAATAACCACCTCCAAAAAATTTCGAATACGTTGAGATTTCTCCATAGTGACAAAAGTATCAAGGCCTGGCATTGTTGCATAAAATTCTGAAACAATACATACAACAGATTAATTTCACATTATTGTGTAATACATGATGAGTCATACCAGGGTATGTAGAAAGAAGTGAAACTGTACCTTCATCTCCCAATTCTTGCTTGATAGGTTCAACTGTTTTCTCCAAATTTGATTTATCGTAAAGAGCATCTGCTTTCTTTGCAAGGAACTGTTGTAGCTTTAGCCTCTTTCCTCTATCGCCAAAACTATTAAAAAAAAGTAACAAGTTTGAATGTATGATGCATTTAGAAACGTCTGAAGTATAATATTACTTAAAGGAATCATCTAACACATACCTCAGAGTCTTTTGACGTTGTTGATAGATTTCAAAGTTTGGTTCCTTGAGATTGAGCATGGCCAGCTCGTTCTCGTTGCGTTCTCCTTCCCACACTTTCTGCAACTGTTGGCCATGGTAGTTCAATGCTTGCGCCACAAGACGCGCATCCATTGACTCCATTTTGATTCTGTACTGCAAGCAACCTAGTCCTGCAATACTATGAAAATCGGCAAATTCGTAATGCTTTCTCTTTTTTCTCTAATATCCAAGATATTATTCAAATATTGACATAATTTTTAATAGCTGCCTCTGAGCGACTGCCCGAAATTGGCATGCAAAAAGGACATCATCCAACAGCCAAGGACACGTGTTTGTAACTGATAAACCGCTCTCCACGGTGATAGCCAGAAAATTCTGGTATTTCAATCGTTTAATGGTTGCTCAAATGCTAGTAGTAACAACGTATCGGTTTTGTATGGTTTCATCGAACGTAAATCGTATCTCCAAAAAGGAATGGCATTCTGTGCAAGAACGCGCCCAGACAAAGCGAATTACCAAGAACCGGTTCTCTGAACAATTTACCTGTAGCTGTTGATATTCCTCTGGCGAATCGTATAAACGACGTAACAGAATAAATCTGTAGAATATTCGTTTACTCAAGAAAAACGCTTACATAGGAAGAAAGGCGCGTTATATTGATTTATCGATAACAAGATGGTCGTCGGGAAGCCGGATTGCGAAGGATGATGGCGCCATGACGCTCCAAATGGCCCTCTTTTCCAAAACTCATCCACACCCATTTTTTCATGGGCATGCCAGACTGGCCAAAAAAGAAACCGGATTATTACTCACCGTTGCTTCCCTATTATCTTCCGACGATTTGTTAATGTGTTTTCCAACTATATCACGGCCCACTACGTATCATCATCGACGATTAAACAACTGCGGCCCTATATTTCACCATACGCTGCACAAGTCACGATTACGAAAAAGCCGGAAACGATAAACTCAGACACGCCTGCGTGAATGGCTCTTTCCCTTCCCTTACTACAGCTAGCGAACCATATCATACATAGCGTCAGCGATCTATATCACTTCCGGTTTGGCGGTCAATTTAAAGTGATTGATGACGTAAAATTTTTTTAGTAATAAAACTTTATTTCTACTAAACAGATTAGATTCTCCATTACAAAATTTTTATCAGGCTTGGAACTTTTAGAAATAATAACAAATACGATTTTTATAGTATGTTTATTTCTAAAATATCTTCTACTTTTAAGATAGTATGACTTATAGCAAATTTAAAATTATAACTTGTCAACTAGAAAAGATTCATGAATGTAATACATACGTGGCGATTAAAATATAAGTTTAGGGTATTTAAAATATTAGTTTATTAACTTAGATACATTTATACCTTCTTCATTAAAGTAGATGTATCCTTCTCAGACTATTGATATCAGAATGCTGATTTCATTTATTTACACCCTCTTACACATTTCATTTCGTTGCATGGATTTTTGACTCCATTATTTGATTATTTCCCAAAATATTAAAAATTTTATTAATTTACTTATTGATTTTTTTTGGTTCCATCTTTGTTTTTCGCATCTACATTCCAATAATACAAAATTTGTGCAACTATTATAGCATTTGATATAGAGGAGCACATATACATTATTATCATTGTAATATCTCCCGTTTCTTGGATAGAGGTAAATATTCGTGTAAGAGATCCAAAGAGGAGCATGAAAGCTGTTATTGCTGATAGCTGACCAGTATTTCCATTGGAATAATTTGTGTAGGCTTGCATTAACTGAAACAATATGAAATCATAAATATATTTTCAGTAAGTTTATATATATTATATAATGATTTTTATTTACAAGCATCTTACCTTACTGGCAAGTACAATGGGTATATTCATTGCTTGACAACCCCAGAGAATATTTACCGGGGTCAAGCCACTAGTAGCAGCAAAGAACACTGCTAGATAAGCAGCAAGGAATGCAGTTGCTTGAAATGTATTACCACTGAAATGCATGACTAATACTGCAATTGCTAAAGTCTGCATACCTAAAAAAACTCCATCACCCCATGAACTAGAATCCAACCATTCATTGATTAATTATAATATGAATGTGTACAAAGGTATATATAATATTAATTATAGTACCTGAATGGAAAACCACTTATAAAACTGTAGGATACCATGGCTGTCATGGCAAATAAGTCCAATAACACACTGAAGACATTGATGCCTTCTACACTTTTACTTCTAAGAATTTTTACAATCTGTGGTATCTTGACTAACAAACAAAAACTTAATACAGTATAATGTTATACACAAAGTTAATTATACATGCAACTATTGCACAAAAACGCAGCTCAGTGTTTAAATTCATGATAATTACAAAGTTTACATAAAAATATATTTTCTAACCGAGAAGAGATCCACCGATGATGCCGAGACCTAAAAATTTGCTCAGCGCCAATTTGAAGCATCCAACTGAAACATGTTCGAAATTTTCATGTTTTACTTGAAGTGGTTCGTATCTTCTTCGCAGGAAATTCATTTTAACTTTTATAAGAAGCAATTTAAATCGTCACAAAGGAATAATGACTTCAAATTTATCGTCGAGAAAAGAATTGAACATCGTTGAGCGCTCACTACGAGTATTTCAAAATTCGATTGTTCAAAAATCTAATTTATTCAGTACAATGTTCAAAGTAGTAGAATTCGAAAGCATTACAATTCACGGTATGCGAGAGTAAAGAGGGAGTAAAATTATATTTAAAATTCTTATACTATTTATGCGAAGCTTTTGTTTATAGTAATATGAAACTATGTATATACCTATTATGCTTGTATTTGAATGTGTAAATGCTAAAAAGTTGTAAAGTCATGTATTACATCATAGCATTTATTAAATATAAAATAGGTTACGATATGTGAGAAATGAAAGTATTAGTTCCAAACTTTAATCTTTATTTCTATTGAATAGTACGCTAGTGGTGTGCGAACGATCATGACAATGGGTACAAGTAAGACGCTGTGGATAAAAATAAATTTATTATAATTCTATGAATCAGTTATATCGGCTATTGGCCGTTTATGAATGAAGTTCCAGCACTCACCGTGAAAAAAGTTCATGTCATCGAAATATTCTTCTATGCACTCTTCTGTGAATAGTAGAAGAGAAACGTTCCTGATTAAGTGAGCCATACTTGCTACACATGCGTTTTATATCTTCTGACTCGTGTCAGAATGTAAAAAATAATGTAATTCCACTTTGTTACGTTTACGATGTATAGGTTAACATAGAGTCGTTCTATTGGTAAGATCGACTTTTATACCGACAGATAACTCGTCATAGTAGAGTCCCAGCACTCTTCGATAAAGAATGTGGCGCGCCATTTTGAATAGTTATTACCCATATGTTTTCATGACATGCTACAATTCTTATTTATTCTAGTACTGATAATGCTTCCCTGATAATGCTTTTATTAATGATTAATATCTAAAACAATGAACATTAATACATTTTAAAAAACACACAACATTACTACCAGTAATTCGTGAAATGCTCAACATTAAAATCACGAATTTTAAAAGTAAAGAAACTCGAGCAACTTCATTTCTTACCATTTTCAAATACCTCCTGTCACCGACAGTGACATGTTTATCCTTTGGATCATTCGTTTTTTCGGAGCTCGTCTGTATTTCGTACTCTTTTCAATATTCCAGTGAGAATTGCAGCAACATACAACTGTATCCTAGTCTCTACGAATGCAGTCGTACAACTATATTCTATGATTTCCCACAACATATATCGCACCATATCTAATGGTAAGGAAGTAAGATCACGAAAATTAAGATTACGATTACAAAATTATGATCACGAAATAAACCATGGAAAAATAACAATGGATATTTCTGACATATTTACGGTGCGGTCATGATTCTACAAAGGAACTCGCTATCTCATAAGCAATAATTCTTTGATGTTGCTTTTATCACACGCAAATATCAACGTACTCGGAAAGCCGATAACAAAGGCGCGTAGAGGTCGACCGAATTGCAAAATAGTACGATGTGCCGAATATATTTTAGAAAATTATCAGCATGAAATTGAACTCGGGCAATTAGCGATAGCAGGTCGAAGTGATTCGTCAGGCCGCCTCTTCACGCGAGCCAAGATGCATTCGCATAAGTGGGTCAGAGGTTGTGGAACAGGAGTGGTTAGGGCAACCCACGCGATAGCTTTTGCTTCTTTACCTGCATTCGATGGTCGTGAAGTTCCGCAGGGGTGCCTGGTACGCTCCTCCTATTCTAACAATTCCCTCCTATCCTTCCTTACTGTTTTTATCCGCTTAGAACTTCCATTATGTAACTTATTAACACAGCGTCTGAAACTTAACAAATTTTATTATATCAAAAAAAAAAAAAAAAAAAAAAAATTTTT